ACAGAGGAGATACCTATGATATTCGTCACCTTCAAACTTCTTCCGAACTCGGCCAGTTCCTGTACTTTGTAACGTGATATTCTTTTACCGTTCTTCTTGTTGATACCAGTGATTTAGCCTTTCCATCTCAGAGATGAAAATTCGATACGAAAAGTGCTAAAATACAGCAACGTGGTAATAAATGCCATTGGGAGGAACTTTGAAACACCGTAAGTTTCCAGTTGACAGCGGTTTTTATTAATTGTTTGAACCTACTATTAAGTTGGTACCTTTCTCACTTTCTACATGTTAAAAGTTTATCTGTGTTGAGCTTTTATTCTTTCACTAATAAGTTAAGTAATTTTAAACCAATGATGGAAGAATGAAATGGCATAATCAATATGTATCGAAGATAATGCTTATAAATCTTTCGTGTAGGTGTTCCATGATGTCAAGTAAAAGTTTAAAGAAGGTACCGCACAAAAAGCTTATAAATCAGTTAACACTGCAAAATGAGCACTGTTGTTAATGCATAACCGTTAGACACGGTTTATCCGAAAATAGAGTATTTCGTTCGCGCGTTGGTGGTCATGCTAAAAGCATATCGTAAGAAACGGTACACAACGCAAAGTCAGATGACATCAATACAGACGTTTCGGTTCGTGTCTCAGGGGCCTTCTTAAAGGTAGGTTGGCGGCGAAGTTTCGCTGCGGCTGCGGCCAACCTTATTAACTTCACCATCACATATAAATAAACCGTGTTTTACTTCATTTTTTTAAACACTGCTTGTTGATAAAATATAAAATGGATGCAAGTATAACGTAAAATATAATAGAGTTAGCTGGATGATTGACCACTACGCAGGTTGACATTTCCCCCCATGTTTCAGTAGCTTTTTTCAAGGTAGGGGGTTAAATTTTGGAGGATTCTTGTCCGCTGCGTTGCGGTTTGTAGGCTTTGAACAAGAAGGCAAGCTTTTGATCCATGCTACTAGTTAAATGGTTACTGGGCGAGAAGGCTAATCCAATCTGCGGAGAGTTCTGTGTCACGGCTGCGTTGTCGCAGGAATCGATGATTAATGTCTCATTTTCACCTGTATGCAGTCAGAGCTTTTTTCTGATGATGCCGGTGCACTCTGTAGGTGTAATTTGGCACTGAATGTCGAAACTTTCGCTAAAATAAATATTTCGTAACAGAGAAACTAAATCTGAACGGAACATTGGGTTACTGATAAACCTTTTGCTCTTGAAACTATATCGATGGTAGGAATTCAAGTCCCCCTTAAAGTCAGTAACAACGTAATAAAGGCATTAGCAGACTGATGACTAAACTGCTTGAACCTGACTTGACCGTACCAGAATTTTAAACCATTAATTCTTTATAAGTAAACAGTAGCATTATAATTAAGAAAGCAGATGAAGGCTGTGTCAGGGTGATTATGGATAGATTAGATTGTACCACCAGTGACCAACTCAACACCATCGCCCTTTACATACCGATCTCATCTCCTTTCTTGTCCATGTACGTCGAGCACTTTTACAGGACAATGTCTGACATGACGTTCCAGATCTCAAGTTTTTCAGCCTCAGAAACGCTTCACAAATTTTGTAACCACCATGAAATACATTAACTTGATATTCCCTTTAGACCTGTTGTCTCTTCGGTGAACTATTTTTCGCAGAGGTTTCAAAATTGACTATTAAAATATCTGGACCTTTAACTGGAGGAATGCCGTCGTACATCAAGAACACCACTGGTTTTGCAAAGAACTGAAACAGATTGGGCCCTTTAAAAAGAGCGTTATGTTAAGTTACAGCATTAAAGACTTATTTACTTAGCCTGAAACTGTACTGTTAAAATAATTAGTGAACTTATTCAAGGAGATATTTACTTAAAGAACGTACTTATCTCTCAGTTAATTCTGTAATAAAGTTGATAATTTTTCGCTCTAGAAACGAACTATTTTTTCTTCAATGTTGGTTTCTTCACAGAAACTAACGGGGCCCCATGCGCAACTCACTTTTCGCCATGCTTGAAGAAATTATTTATGAATAACCGAAAATGTAGCCGGAAATCCGTACCTGCTTCCAAGGGTATTCAAAATATATATTGACTATATTTTGCCTTTTCAGTATCCTCAAAACATCAAGTTAACCATTGAAAGAGAAAATTGCTGAAGTGTACCTTTTATTTATTTCTTAATAATTAACTCCGGTAGTTGCTATAAAACCAGAATTTATCGTGAGTCTAGTAACAGTGATAAATAACTCAACTTTAAATACATAATTG